ATTTAGAAGTAATCATTCATTTTAGTGTTTCACACTAAAGACAGTTTGGGGAAACTGCAAACTAAATTCAACATCAAATGCATCTTTAATATCTTCTAATAAACAAGGATTGTCAAATTGATTTACATGGAAAACTAATACACCGGCACACAGGTTCAAAAAAGCTGTAACATAATGTACATTTGTTCCTTTTCAGCCATTTACTGCCTCTAAAACAAACAAGATCAACCAGATACAGCTTAAGTTTCTCTATTGTAAAATACAAGTTTCTCACCAGGGTCTCCCTCTGCATCAAGTAGTTTACCGATGAGCTGCTCGTACTCGGTGCCTACTTTAAAGATTGCGCTGCTACCGGCCGCCACAGTCAGGTGATACAACCACGTATCCTACGTAAAACAAAACAAGCTGTAAGTTGGAGTCCAGTTGCTTTGGATGAACAACAGATCAACGTTAATTCTGCTACCTTCTCCTGCTTGGTGCCAATGAGCATGTATGTGGGACTCTGGTCTCTTGGCTGGACCACTAAGGTGCAGTGGGAGGAGAGGAAACCTCGACTTCCTGCCTCGTAGTCTTCGTCTGAGTCACAGGAGCGATCCACCTCCTGCACCGACGCCTCCCTCATCTGCAGCTGACCGAGTGGCAGCTGAAAGAGGAAGAAGTTCGGTAAATGGAGGATCAAATAAAATATGGTTGTAGAAGAAAGATAGTTATATATTACTTATGTATGAAGCATGCTTAAATGAAGGAAGCATATTAAGTAGGTGTAATTACAGGCACAGTTGCAAACCCTTACTAGTTTAACACTCTTTTTTTTAAATAATGTTCAGTTGTTTATCTTTCAAAAGCATCTTAACTGTACAGATGAAGACAGTTGCTGAGGAGCGTGTGTTTGCAAAGCCTTGTTGACATGATTCTTAATCCTCTGAACACTTCTTTTCACATTTCTACCTACTTCAGGTTCATTTTTCACTGTGATATAAAGTCCAGCACCTCTATGGAAACAGAACCACGATGACTAAAGTCTTTTTTTTACAGTGTGAAAACAGTTATTATGCCATAAATATAAAAATAATTACATTGGATATTTTGCAAAAATGGAAAAAAAAGCGCCCACAGGTGTCAGCAATACTGGAAAACCTCACAACTTTGCCTACTGCAGATATTTTACTCATTACATTTTTAATTTGTTTGCCGGCTTGTCTCCTATCTGCTCTATGAAAGCACTGTTCAGCTGAAAAATCACAGAAATTTTCTCATGACTGCAGCTGAAGGAATCATGGGGTTGTGCCGAGAAGTGAGTGAGTAAGTAAGTAAGTAAGTAAGTAAGTAAGTAAGTAAGTAAGTAAGTAAGTAAGTAAGTAAATAAATAAATAAATACTGCAGAATCTGGTAAACAGAAAATGGTTTATCTTGGTCATTAAAAAAAAAAAAAAACATGTAGAAAATAGTGATTTTGAAGAAATATCACAACTCCAGGCTTTACATTCAAGGTTTCATATAAAACTGCACATAAACAGTTCAAGAACTGTTGGAAAGTTGTAATTCCGTCTATTTTATTTCCAGCTGTGATAAATGGTGTAATTTTGGCTTTCAAACCTGTCGTTGGATTCTGGGGTTGAGATGGTTAGTGAAGTTTAACAAAAGGCTAAATTCAGGGCAGGCAAGGAAGGAGTGAT